GGCGGGAGGGAGGACGGTGATTGCCTCGTCGTGTGATGGTGATTGCCTCGTCGTAAAACATCGTCCAGACGGGGGTTTCTTTCGATGCCATTTTCGATGCCGCTCTCGGGACGCTATTGCTCCCAGACGGGATTAGCGCGTCTCGCTTTCTACTTTTCGTGCTTTGAGAAATGGTGACGGGGTCTCCCGTCACCATTTCTCGCTGCTTGGAGAGCGAAACGAGCCGACAAAATGAAACAATTTTTTTTTTGTTTTATTTTTAACAGCGTTGGCGTTGTGCGACTGGTCGAACCTGCAGAAGACTCGTCGAAACATCGTGAACTCCTACACCCACCCGCGACCCAGCTCCGACACGTTCCGCCACCTGAACGACGTGATCGCGGCTGAAGTGGACCGCCTGATCGAGACGCTGCGGGAGGAGAGCACGGGAGGCGGACGGATCCAGCCGAAGCAGCCGCTGCTGCAGGCATGCGCGAACGTCTTCACGAGTTACCTGTGCAGCAGGCGGTTCGAGGCGGAGGACGAGGACTTCCGCGAGATGGTCAAATGCTTCGACCTCATCTTCTACGACATCAACCAGGGGTACGCGGTGGACTTCCTGCCGTGGCTGGCGCCATGCTACAAGCGGCACTTCGGGGACCTCGAAGGCTGGTCCAAGACGATCAGGGCCTTCATCCTCCAGTACATCGTCGGGGAGCACGAGGCCGAGGCCGTGCCGGGGGAGCCGCGGGACTTCGTCGACGTGCTCCTGGACCATCTCCGGAACGAAGGGGACATCGACTGGCAGAGCGCCCTGTTCGAGCTGGAGGACCTGATCGGCGGACACTCGGCCATCGGGAACCTCTGGATGCGAATCGTCGCCCAGATGGTGCAGAACCCAGATGTGATGGCGGCGCTGCAGGAGGAGATCGAGGCGGTGACGGGGGGAAAGCGCCCGGTGACGCTGGACGACCGGCCGGACATGCCATACACCGAGGCAGTCATGTTGGAGGCGTTGAGGATCATCTCGTCGCCGATCGTGCCCCATGTCGCCACGGCGGATACGACCATTCAAGGTTGGCTTTTTTCCGCTTTTTTTTTCCCGTCCCCTCCCCGAATTAACTCGACCTTGGAATTCCGGTTTTTGGAGAAACTTGTCCGTTGGTCGCCCGCAACGATGAACGAGGCGCCTCATAAATATCCACTTTGACCTAACTTTCCCCGTCTTTTTCTGAGAAAATCCGGCCATCCCCCGCCTTCCCCCCTTTTTCCACCCCCGTCTTCGCCCACCCACATTCACGTCTCCCGTCTCCTCTCCTCCCCCAGGTTTCGCAGTGGAAGAAGGAACTGTGATATTTCTCAACAACTACGAACTGAACACCAGCCCCCTCTACTGGAACGACCCCTGGAAGTTCAACCCGGGACGCTTCGTGCAGAACGGCCAGATAGTGAAGCCCGACTTCTTCATCCCCTTCAGCACCGGCAAGCGCGCCTGCATGGGCTACCGCCTCGTCCAGAGCCTCACCTTCATGCTCGTGGCCCGGCTGTTCCAAGCCTTCGACATCCGCCTCCCGGAGGACGACGACGGGGCGACACGGCTCCCCCAGGCCTGCCTGGCGGTTCCGTACAACGCCTTCTCGCTCGTCTTCTCCCCCAGGGAGTCCGTTCTGGGATTCGTTCCGGAATCCATTCTGGAGTCCGTCACAGACACGCTTCCCGAGTCGGTTTCGGAGGCCGTTTTGGCGCGGTCCCTTTGAGAACCAGGTTTCCCTTAGCTAGACAGATTTTTTTTCCTCCCCCTATAATTATTCGTCCGTATTTATGATTCTTTAAAAAATTTCCGCCTGGGATTTGGATTTCCGGAGTTTCCCGTCCGTTCGGTGTTTTCGAGCGTTTCTTCTCCATCCCTCGCGGTTGCATTTATCTGGAGTTTTGCATGCCAAAGACTGACTGCATGTCCCTCTTCACCACCCCCATCGGTTTTAGGTTCATATCATCCATTCGTTAGGAATATTCGAATATATGGCTATGCGAGAATGCGTCGACGAAAAGTCGTTTGAGTACAAAAAATTCCCCCGGGGCACGCTTCCAAATTTCGAAGTTGTGAATGGATGCCAGTATTTTACGAGGCTGAGAACAAGGAGACTATTTTTTTTCTTGTCCTATTTGATGTCATGTCTTTTTATCTTTTAAGTAAAACAATAAGAAAAGATAATACATGTTTTCCCTTCTGATTTCTTGTCTCACCGAGGACTTCAAGTTTCGCGTTCCTTTCATCCTACGCTTATTTGGAAGCCAGCCCCACGTGTACATAGACTCGGGAACACGGCCTCTGCCCAGTGGTCTAAGGGACCTTTTTTGTTTTTGTGTTTATTTTTTTTTCGCTGTTGCACTCAAATGAGTTTTTTTTGGCGTCTCGCAAGGATGTCGTCCCTTGCAAAGAATCTCTATGGAATGACACTGTGTTATTATTTTTTTTAAATTGGAATTAGAGAAGAGAATAAATAGATTATTGCGAAGCGACAAACTGTCTCTTCTTTCGTGCTTGAAAATTTTGCAACGCGATCCGGCCGAGTGGAACGTTATCAGCAGATCCTGAGAATTTCAGGTGATTCCTGGGAATCCCAGGCAGTTCCTGAGACAACTCCTGAGAACGTACCAGGGTAATTTGCAAGCAAGACCCGGGAATCTCCACAAAACCGCCACATCCCAAGCTTCAAACCACGCGCAAAAAAGGGCGGGAAAAAAAACGGCGCGAACGGAAAGGGAGAGCGTCGCTGAAAACGAATCCGTCGCTTACCAGAACGCACTTTCCCTTTTGGCTTCACTCGATCCAAGAACGGCGAAGGTGAGCATCTCTGTTCGGATATGACATCCCTGGTGGATGCCTTCCGATAGCCTCGACGCTTTGCTTCGCTCCGTCGAACTTCTCTAACCACGAACTCCTCGCAGGGTTTCGGCGCGCACCGCGTTCGAATGCCAGAAGATACTAAAAAGGACCAGAAAGTCGTCGTGTCGCGCGGCAACCGCCAACCTGTAACCTCGCAACCGCACTCCTGTGCCTCGCGAAAAAGTACTCAAACGTTGCACCCAACTCGAAGTACCTCTGAAATTCGCTACGGACAGATTGAACATGCTGAATACAAAAAATCCTCTAGAACCACACAATCACGGGCATCGCAGGTTCGCCGGCCGATGAGGAATCGGTGCAAGCTCGGCTCGGGGTCGAGAAAAAAATTTAAACGGGAATCCAAACGGGAACGATCGTAAAAATGCAGGAATGCTCGCACGTAAGAAAAAAAATTGCAAAAATATACATTTTATTATACTTTTTCCCCAGGATAAAATCCAACAAAAGGAGTCATGATTCCACGCTGACTCGAAATTTAGAAAACTACATTAAAAGTTTCCACGTTGCCCATACCCTTCTCCTCGACAGAAGCAAAAGACGACAGCATTCGAATTTAGGATCAATTCAGAGAACCGACGCAGAACCTGTAAGATCGCAAATGCACTTTCACCCCCCCCCCCCCCCCCCCCCCCCCCCCC